ACGGCGTCGAGGAGTGGGAGTCGGCAAAGGGTTTCGTAGTCTATGTCTGCCGTGTTTTCATTGAACGCCTCTTTGGTCTCCGCCACCAACAGGTCCTGAATATCGGGATTGAGTGCCAACTCATAGATACAATACGACAGAGTTGTGGCCGTTGTCTCAGAACCGGCCACAAAAAATACAGCGCATTGGGAGAGGATTTCCTCTTCGGTTAACGTCTTCTCCACGACTCCACTCAACGCCTGTTTCTCTGCCATCAGTTCGTCGACGCCTTCGTTCACGTGATGTCCTTCCAGTGCATCGCTGGCCACAGAGTCCGCACCCATAGTCCCGGTGTTGTTGTCCTCTCTCTCCACGTCTACCAACAACTGTAAGAAATCGTTGTATTTTTTGCCCGATTTCTTGCGCTCAGACATCAATCCTTTGGCGACTCGAGTGAAAAATATGTGATCCGATTGATCGCCGGTTACGAGCGCTTTGACCAACCGGTTATTGGCCACCCATTTGGGCACCATTTTTGACAATAACGTAATCAACGGATTCGGCGGTGAGAATGGATACTCTTTACTGACGAACGGATTGTTTGGACCGCAATAGGCGTCGATTTTTATGCTATAGGCACAGGTGGCGATCACATCACGTGTATAAGCGATCATCAATTGCTTTAACTCCACTTCCCGTCGACCGGTGGACACATCCCTGTCGAGAGCGGCCAAGAAGTCACGGCAACACTCGTTGATGAGTGGATACATGTGTTTGAGTTTACCCGAAGTGAATGCGGGACTGGCTATGGCTCGGATCCGTTTCCAATCGCCATCTCTGGCCATAAATAAGTTTATTCCCAAAGCGGCCGTCCGTTCGGCCGATTCCGCGCGGTTACGGAATTTGTGAAACTCTTTCACCAGAATCTGTTTGATGAGCACCGGGTCCGCCACCGATAGCACAGGCCTTTCGCACTCATATATACTATACGATTATATAAATAACAATATTTGAAATATAAATAATCCAATTGTGCATTATATTGTAGTAAATATTTGAAACATAATTAGATTTAGAATACAATGTATTTTTAATTTATATGTTTCTTATAGTCACAGGTAGAATTCAATGTTTGCATTCATTATGGTATAAGTTATACCGTATAACCATATATGAAGTATAATTACCCAAACACTGGTCCGTATGTCTTATACCACTCCATTTCAACGAATGCCTTGAACTTTAAGACATGCGCTAAATTATTGCCGAAATATGGTATGGGTTTCGGACCCGAGATATTACGGTCCGACCAGTAATTCAATATACGGTACCATTTGCTATAATTAAACACAATACCAAATATAATATTAATATTAGTAATGTGCAAATGTGTATTTGTTTTTTTAAACAACTTTTTCTGTTTTTCTTTTCAATTAATTTGAAATATTATTTAATTGTTGTATAATATAAATACTTTACGAGATCTTTATTTAATACATTACATGTAATATTCAAACTTATAATTTGGCCAAAATTTGATAAAATTGCTTTGTTTTTTCTCTAACTTTAACTTTTAACTCTATATCATGATGTCTGAAAAGTTAGGCTTTGCCTATATGCTCCCATAGACAATACATTACAGTTTTGCTCAATTTCTGCTCATCTAGCCGCTCTGCTCTATATTGTTTTTTTCTAACTTTAACTTAATTTTAACTCTATATCAATATGACTAATGATAAGTCTATGGCAATGCTAATCCTCAGGGTAATTCTAACCTATGTTACGTTTTTACGTTATTTATTTAAAATAGCAGCAATGTTACAAGAGAATTGCCCCAATCAAAAATGTAGTTTTTATTAATAAATTCTGTATATTAGCAATGTATAATACTCACATATAATTGTACGTGATCAAAACGACCACAACAGCC